ATCAAGAGAGACAGAAGGCAGATTTGTGGTTGCCAAGGGCTAAGGGAAGGGAGAATGAGGAATGACTGCTTAATAGGTATAGAGTTTCCCTTTGAAGTGATAAAAATAAGTTCTGGAACTAGATAGTGGTGATGGTTACACAACATTGTGAATACTACTGAATTATACACTTTAAAGTGGCTAAAATGGCCAAATTTATGCCTGTGTGTTTTACCACAATTTAATTCATTAACTGATTAAAATTAAGGCAAAGTGAATACTAAAAAAAAAAAAAAAGAGAGAGAGAGAGAGAGAGTTTTAGTTAAGAGAATTTGCTTTGTGCAGATCTGCACTATAAAAAATACTGAAAGCTATAGCCCTAGCTCAAGCCCGAGCCCTGGCTCAGTGGATGCAGTGTCGGCCTGCAGACTGAAAGGACCTGGGTTCAATTCCAGTCCAGGGCAGAGCAGCTTAATTCTTAATAGGAGGTGTGCAGGAGGTAGCCGATCAATGATTCTCTTTCATGTTGCTATCTCTCCCTGTCCTTTCCTCTCTGAAATCAATAAGAGTAAAAAAAATATTTTTTTTAATTAGAAATGCTAAAATAACTTGTTGGGATTGAGGAGAAAGGATACCAGATGGAAGCTCAGAGATTTAAAAAGAAATTAAAGATCACTGAAAATGATGACTATAAGATAAATAAAAAACTATTTTTTTCTCCTTTCACTTTTTTAAAATATATTTTATTGATTCTTTAGAGAGGAAGGGAGAGAGATAGAGTTAGAAACATTGATGAGAAAGAAACATTGATCAGCCGCCTACTGCACACTCCTTATTGGGGATGTGCCTGCAACCAAGGTGCATGCCCTTGACCAGAATCGAACCTGGGACCCTTCAGTCTGCAGGCCGATGCTCTATTCACTGAGAGTCAAACCAGTTAGGGCCTCCTTTCACTTTTTAAAAAGATTATCTGTCTGATTAATCCACAAGTTATAATATTGAATTCTGAATTTTATAACACATTTAGATTTCAAACATATGACAACAATAGCACAAAGAATGGTGGGGGCAGATAAATGGAATTGTATTACTAATGGTTTCTTCTAATTTACATGGAATAGCACCTTAGTTACTCTATTTACTATGATAAGTTAAGGAAACAGACTATGATCCTTAAAAGAATAACTAAGAAGTAATACAGAAAAGTATAACTAAAAATCCAATAAAGGAAAATATTCAATTTCTGTTTCCAACCATACTAACTCGTGCTTTGCTTGCTGTCTCACCATAAACAATTAAAAAATGGGACAAAATTTATGGAACAAATGTTCACAGACATTGAACACTGTGAAACAATGATTCCTGAGAGAAGAAGAACCAACAAGGTGATTCCTGGAGGCACCTCCAGACCAAAGTGCATGGAGCGGGGTGCCAAGGAGAACACAGCACTCTCCCTGAGCTGAAGAGAAAGCAGAGCTCAGGGAGGCTGAGGCACACGTGGTGGACAGAATATGAGCGAGAATAGAATTATGTAGAAAAATATTCATGTGGCCAAAACTTACGGAACTGTATACTACTGCTGTAAGTAAATTCAATGTACCAAATAAGTTATATGTATATTTCACCTCAATAAAGTTGACTTTAAAATGCATAAATAATTGTTAAAATGAAACACAGAAAACATGTATAGACCTATATTTATGAAATCTGTTATCAGATTCATTTAATAACAAATTGGTTATCAAAAACTTTCCCACAAAGAAAACTATAGGTCCCAGTGGAAAGGACACCTCTTTGCAGTCACAGAAGCTTTAATCATAAAGCCAAAAACTAGGGTTAGGGTTTAGGGTTAGGGTTAGGGTTAGGGTTATCTCTAGGAGAATGAATAAAATTGTGGTTATTTATATAATGAAACAATACCCAGTAACAAAAATAAATAACCTGATACACAGGTAACAACATGAACACATCTCAAAAAGTATGGTAAGTGAAAGAAACCATGCATAAAAGGGAATCATATTATTTCACTTAAATGAAGTTTAAGAATAGGTAAACCTGATCTATGATGATAGAAATTAGAACAGTGGTTGCTTAGAGGTGGAAACTTTTCGGAAAGTGATAGAATGTTTAGTTATTAATCAAAACTCATCAAACTGTACACCCAGGACTGATGCATTTCAGTATATATAAATTTTACTTGATTAAAAATATGTTTTTCAGCAATGTTATTAATAATTTAAAATTAGAAGCTACTTAAATACTTTGTACTAGGGTTTAATAAAGAGTGTACCCAAATACCACAGCCACTAAAAATGATACTATAGAAAACTATCTATTGACAAGGAGAGATGTTCGTGACAATTTTTATGAAAAAGAAAGTTATCAAACAACATATAGATTATAACTGACCTATCAGCACAAAAATAGACTGGAGACATTCACCTAAGTGAGAAGTAACTTAAAAGGGTGTTTCTACATGAACATGTACTTGCTTTTTTAATAAGAATGAAATCTTTCTAGATAGATAAATATAATTATAGATTCATACATACAGTTGGTCTTGTAGTTCATGGTAATTTCTAGTATCCTATATAATAAAGATGTAATATGCAAATTGACCATCACTCCAACACACAAGATGGCCATCCCCATGTGGACACAAGATGGCCGCCAGGGGAGGGCAGTTGTAGGCAATAATGTCAGCAGAAGAGGGCAGTTGGGATGGACCACGACTGCGAGGGAGGAAAGTTGGGGACAACCAGGCCTGCAGAGGAGGGCAGTTGGGGGTGACCAGGCCAGCAGGGAAGGGCAGCTGAGGGCAATCAGGCCGGCAGGGGAGCAGTTAGGCATGGATCAGGCTGGCAGGGGAGTGGCTAGGGGGTGATCAGACTGGCAGGCAGAAGCACTTAGGGGCAATCAGGCAGGCAGGCAGGTAAGTGGTTGGGAGCCAGCAGTCCTGGGATTGTGAGAGGGATGTCTGATTGCCCATTTAGGCCAGATCCCACCACAGACATCCCTCGAGGGGTCCCAGATTAGAGAGGGTGCAGGCTGTGCTGAGGGGCAAACCCCTCCTCCAATGCACAAATTTCGTGCACCAGGCCTCTAGTGTCCTATAAAGGCACCAGGAACTCTGACTAGGAAATGCTGAACCATTGTTCCTAGAGGAAATACAAGGTTAGGTTCCTATGAGAACCACGTTTCCCTCAGCTGATCAATATGTAACCTTGTGTTATGTGTACTTCTACTTAAACACCCCTTATTGCATATACACTATTGACTAATTAACATTGAACTCACAGCCAACAGTAATATAACTAATGCCTGAACAAAGCTTATTTATCACATACATTTTCTCCCTAAGGTAGCTCATAGCCTTTTGCACTTAAGAACACGAGACAGCATATGCTTGGAAAAAATTTTAAACAACAGGATATCCCCAAAAAAGCATGAAAATGTGAAAAACATGGCACTAAACAGACCGTGAAAAGGACACCTGGGTGCAGCATGAGAGATGAAACGAGAAGGCAGACTTTCACCTTCTTCAACCTCAGCTGGGAGCATGCAAGTTGAGCAACTCAAAATGTTTGCCTCTCTGTGCGTATCTGCAAATAACCACAAAAATGCTGCTAGTGTTGATTTGGGGCTTGCAAATAAATTTTAGCCTGTAGGTCAGTTCACTGATACAAAATGTGCAAATAATAGGGGTTGACCGTACATAAGCATATCTATGAAGGAAAGTATCTCCACGCCTGCCTTTGGCCTGCACACCTGGAGCAGCCAGGGCGGAAGGGGAGGAGGCTGGTAGGAAGGAGGACCTGGAGAGACAAAGAAGGGAGGAAGCAGGCCCAGCGAGAGGCCACCCTGGAGGCTGGAGCCACCTAACTCTATGCAGTCACAACTCCACAGTCACAGACAGACCTGAGTGCTTGGGAGGAAGACCAGACACGGCGAGAGAGAAGCACCTTCTCCTGGGGAACCGCATCCGAACCAAAGCAAAGCCCACCTAGGAGAGCACCTCTGAGCTGCAGGCTCCCCGGAGAGGCAGCCATAGGAACGAATGGCAATAATTGCCCCCGGCCATCTCAGGACTGCACTCAAAATCACAGATACCCTCCACGGCCATCTCAGGACTGCGCTCAAAATCACAGACTCCACCTCCATGTCGCCTTCTGGCGCAGTTGTTTCATTTTGAGGGATGAAAATCTTCCCAAAGGCTTTCAGGAGCCAGTCCCCAATTCAGCCCAGGCCCTCGCACCCCCCAGGAACCCTCAGCTGCACAGGCCAGCTGGGAAAGCGGCCCCGGATCGGATCCTGAGGCTCTCTGAAAAAGGCACGCCTCCTCCCCCCTCCTCTGTGCTTTGCCCGCTCCGTCTGCAAGAATTATCCTTTCCAGAGACACAACCTTACCTAAAGAGGTCTGTCTGGTTTTTGCACTTGGCCCTTGGAAGGTTATCTCCAAGCCCTGGGAAGTACCTGTTTAGGCAGTGTCCTTGTTTACCTGCGTGTGCTGCGTGTGCTGTCTGGCCCCATGGGGCTCCAGAGCCAGGCTGAGCCCACCAGGGGAAGGAGGGCCAGGCTCCGGATCCCATCCTCCGTCCTCCCTCTGGGCACCAGCCAGGCAGAAGGGCAGGAGAGGCGGGCAAGGCCCTTCTTTTGCTGCCACCTGCCAGGTCTAGCTGTCGTCAACTCGAGCAGCCCTGGCTTCAAAGCTGGGGGCCCTCCCCTGCTTTTGCTCAGAGCCCAAACTTCCAGCTCTGCCTGCCCTGGTTTCTGGGTGGGTCAGAGCCAGAACGAAAGAAACAGGCTGTGAACCGAATCCCCTCCCCTGGGTCTCCTCCATTTCCACCCTCCCCACCCCCCACCAACATGGGCAGGGGGGCAGCCCCAGACATTGGGAAAGGAATGGAAAATGCGGAGGAACAGAGATGTGCTCAGAGGAGAGGGCGGTGGGAGAAGCACACAGGACGTGGAAGCCCGGCCCGGCCAGCGCCCGGTCCCCGCCCTGCGCCCCGCGCACTCACCTTCGTCACAGTTGCTCCCGGTGAAGCCAGGGCAGCACTTCCACTCCAGCGCGGTCACTGTTCGGTAGGACACTCTGTATGTGGGTCTGATCAGGGTCCTGTAACTGACACAGGGCAGCATCAGGACAGTGTGGGCACCTGCTGCCCACCCCCTGACCCAGCTCCTCAGAGCCAGCCCAGCCAGTGGATCCCGGGGCCCCAGCTCTGTGCTACTGGCTGTGTGACGGTGGGGAAGTGACTATCCCTCTCTGTGCCAAGTGTGCTTCAGTTCTGCCTCCCTGAAAGTCTCCAGGTGCGGCCACCTACAGTGGGAAACTGTCCTGCACACAGACCGCTGTGGACTGAATTGTGTCCCCAGAATTCACATGTTGAACCCCTTACCCCCCCCCCCACACACACACACACATACACTGAGAAAAGGCCATGTGGGGACACAGAAGACAGCTGCCTGAGAAAACAGAGGGTTGTTGTTTAAGCCACCCAGCCTGTGACATGTTGTTATGGCAGTTTGAGGCAAGAACATGACCAAAATAATGAAAAAGGAAAAGAAAAATATCATGAGAACCTGTGCAACTTCCAACCACCCGCAAGTCGCTCAACTCCAACCTTTCCCCCAATCGTTATTTCCTTTTGTTGACTCATCAAATGAATGCTTTTTTAAAAAAAATATATTTTATTGAGAGGGATAGAGAGTTTAAAACGTCGCTGAGAGAGAAACATCGACCAGCTGCCTCTTGCACACTCCCCACTGGGGAAGTGCCCACAACCAAGGTACCTGCCCTTGACCGGAATCGAACCCGGGACCTTTCAGTCCTCAGGCCGACGCTCTAACCACTGAGCCAAACCGGTTTCGGCAAATGAATGCTTTTTTAGTGCCAATTACATGCTATACAGTGGTCACAGATGGATAGCACGGAGTCCCCACCTTCCAGAAAGTCACAGCCTGGGGGATGAGCGGTGCTTCAATGAAATGTGCAGTCCAGGGGTGGGACTCCCGCAGCAATAAAATGCTCCACAAACTGCTGTGGCCTCCATAATAAAATTACAAAGTCCTATCGTTTCATTTTTTTTTTCTTCAAACAAGTAAGTTTGATACTTCTTTTGAATCACATTTATTTTTGGAATTTTGTGAAACTCCAAGAATAATGAATATAATATATTTGGCCAAATTTCACAAGGGGGGAGGCGGGGCAGGGGTCAATTCAGCCTGTTATTTACTCTACAGGCATCATTATAACAGTGCTGCTTGATCAAGCTGGCACAACTCCCTCTCAAAGGCATAACTCCATGACTGACTTCACAAAATCTGAATTTGCTGACACCGAGCAACTTAATCGGTGAATGGGAAACTATGAATTAATTGGTAGCAGCAGGCGTGACATCTCAAGATGCAATGACGGGAAAACACACGAGTCACATCTTGAATTTCAGAAATACTGCACCAAATTCGAAAAATCCTATTACACTAATTTCTCTCTCTCTCTCTTTTTTTAAATCTTCACTCATGTTTCGTAAACATTCCAGCAAACCAGCTTCCCCCTGGAGAGCGAAGGAGGGTGTGGCAGGTGCAGCCAGGGGCAGGGGCCTTGGAGGAGGAGCCAGAAGTCTGTACAGAGCGGTGCCCACCGCTGGGACCTGGAGAGCAAACCCAGCCTTTCAGGGGTCCTCAAACTTTTTAAAGTGGGGGCCAGATCACGGTCCCTCAGAGAGCTGGAGGGCCGGACTATATGAACTACTAATTCCTACTGTAACACCTCGGCTGCGCTCACTGCCCAAAAAACCTGGCGGGCCGGATCAGACTCCTCTGCGGGCCGCATGTGGCCCGCGGGCCGTAGTTTGAAGACGCCTGCTAGACTCTAGATCCCCTTCCCTGCCCCCTCCCACCCTCTGTACCCAGGAAGCAACTGGAATAGGCCAGTGGGGACAGAAGTGGCAGAGAAACAATGTCACCACTTTTAAAATATATATATATATTTTTTTATTGACCTTTTACAGAGAGGAAGGGAGAGGAATAGAGAGTTAGAAACATCAATGAGAGAGAAATATTAATCAGCTGTCTCTTGCACACCCCTACTGGGGATGTGCCCGCAACCAAGATACATGCCCTTGACTGGAATCGAACCTGGGACCCTTCAGTCTGCAGTATGATGCTCTATCCACTGAGCCAAACCGGTTAGGACCAGTGTCACTACTTCTTAAAGCAGGTGGCCTGGTGGGACATAGGTGGGTTAATGAGCCTGGGTCCAAAGAGTATAATAAACACCTTTTCACACTTATACACCCATTATTCACTTACACGCTCACTCACACCTCACATACTCACACATTCAGTCACATGCATACACTCTCACATGCATACATACACACACACACACACACACACACACACACACATAAGCTTTCACACACCTAACACTCACAGGCTCACACTCTCACACCCCTTCCTGCTGCAGACCTCCCAGCTTGAAGCAGCCCCAGCTGGGAGAGGGGAGACGCTTTCATTTAGGTAAAAGATGCCAGTGTTATTGTGGTAAGCATTTCATCATATATGTTCATCCAACTATCGGGCTGTGCACCTTACATGTATATAGTGATGACATCAACTATTCCTCAGTAAAACTATAGTGGGGAAAAGGGGTACAAAATGAATTACGTGGCAAAAAGAAATTAAGATGCCAGCTTTTCAGTTCATTCCTGGAATAACATTATTGCTCTGGCTGAGAGGGATCAGAAAAGCTTCAGAAGCCACTTGGGGCAGACAGAGGGCAGGAAAGGGTCACATCGCTTACTGCTTATGTCCTGCCCCGGGCATCCGGTGCCAGGAGAGGATCCCTCCCACGCCCTCAGCACCATGGGACAGAGGGAGTGCCGGGCTTCGGGCTCTGACCCTTTTGTACAACGTGGACTTGCACACGTTCCTCAGCCTCCCTGAGTCCGTTTTCTGGTCTGCACGATGAGGACCCATGGAAACCAGAATGTGGATTAGGGTTCCCTGGGAGGGCATATATGTGAGGCACTGAGAGCAGAAAGGGGTACACAGATGCTGGGTTTGCAAAACACAGATCTGAATTCCTCGCTGCCAGCCCATACCCTTCGGCAGCCCCCACTGTGGTCAGGAGAGCCTGACCTGCAGGCTCTTCTCCAGCTCACAGCTTCCCGTGTCACAGACCGCCCCTCGGCCTGTGAGCCCTCCGAAATGCGCCAGGCATTCCTCAGTCGTCCCTTGAAAGATGATGATGACAATAAAAATACTAATATTTGTAAGTATAGCAAGAGCTTTGATTGAGTGCTCACTGAGTACCAGGTACTGTTCATAGCAACCCTAAAAGATGGATCCTAATACTTTTCCTACTTTACAGAGGAGGAAACTGAGGCAGAGAAGTTAAATAACTTTCCCCAGGGTGGTGGAACTAGGACCCAAAGGCAGGCAGAATTGGCAAAGCTTAGTAATACTAGTTTGTGTCTGCTCCTTCCTACGTCTGCACAAGGTACTGATCTTGGACCCCTGAACCAAAGGGGGAGCTCATCTTTCTGTCCCTCGTTTTGAGGCCATGCTCTGGCCTGTCCCTCTATGATGGGACCAAAAGGAACCAGATGGCCTGTGAAGTCCAGGCGCAGGGCTCACCAGTAGGTGGCGCTGCTTCACCAGCCCAGAGGGCCAGGGCTCGGCATGGCTGACCCCTCCACTCTTACCTGAAGGCTCCAGTGATGGCCTTCTCCGCACAAGAAGCTGAGGAGCTTCATCCTTTCACATCCTCGAGGAACTCCCAGCCCTTCCGCTGGGGTCCAGTCTGCAAAGCCAGATCTTTCTACAAACGCAGATCAAGTTTTGTGACTGCCCTCCCTTAAAATGGCTCCCATAGACTAAAGAACGAATAAGGTAAATAAGGTTCTGCCATTCTGCCTACCTTTCTACCATCCCTCCTCCCATCACCAGCAGCCAAGGCTCCTACCACCAGCACACGACAAGCTGCACGTTCTGTCCGCGGGCCTCTGCACGTGAATGCTCTTCTGCCTTTTCTCTGAGAAAAACCCCCAAGAGCTTTCGGGGTGTGACTCAAAGGTCCCCTCCTCCTCTGTGAAGCATCCCCTCTCTGGCCAGAGCGGACAGGCTCCCTCCTCAGCCCTCCTGCAACACCGTGTACAGAGCGTGGTTTTAACCCAACGCTCATCTGTGCCCTCACCGGTGCAGACCACGGGCCTGCTGTGTGCCAGGCACCGGGGATACAAGGAGGAAGAAGGCAGGCACGCGCTCCGCTCTGTCAGGGCTTGTAGCACACGCAGGTACATGGCCTCGCACGTGGTAAGTGCTACGAAGGAAAGCACCGAGTTTACCCCTCACGTTATAGTGGAATTTTTCCTTGTGTTATTACAATATAACTTACACACAGTAAAACAGATAAATCTAGTCTTCAGCTGGGTGAACTTTAACATATGGGTACACATATATTATAACTCAAAAGTCCCCTTATGCCCCTTCATGTTGATTACCCAGCCCCCAGACATAACCACTCCTCTGACTCCTCTCGCCAGAGATTAGTTTTGCCTGTTCTAAAATCTCATATAAATGGAACCTTACAGCCATGCACTCATTTGTGTCTGCCTTCTTTCATTCACCCGTTATGTTTGAGTTTTATCCATGTTAAGTATACCAGTATTTTATTCCTTTTTATTGCTAAACTAGAGGCCCCGTGCACGAAAATTCGTGCACAGGAGTGGGGGATGGCGGCGGGAGTCCCTCAGCCCGGCCTGCACCCTCTCGCAGTCAGGACCCCTTTAGAGATGTACACCTGCCAGCTTATTTACTGATCCTGGGAGCGGGCCTAAGCCTTCAGCTGGACATTCTTAGGGCTGCTGAGGCGGGACAGGCTCTCGCCACCACCCCTGCACTCTCAGTTGTCAGCCTGGCTGTGGCTGAGCTGAGCTCCCCCTGTGGAAGCACACTGACCACCAGGGGGCAGCTCCTGTGTTGAGTATCTGCCCCCTGGTGGCCAGTGTGCATCATAGCGACTGGTCATTCCCAGTAGTTCTGCCATTAAGGTCAATGTGCATATTACCCCTCTATTATATAGGATAATATTACATTATATAAATATACCATAAT